GAGTGTGTGTGGTGTGTGTCTGTGGCCAGCTCAGCCCACCAGGGGGCGGGACTGGCTGGCATGTGGTGCTGGGGGTTTGAACCGCGGTCCCTGATGCTTTGCCAAGCTTGTTCTAAGTAGGTGCTTTAGACCACTGAGCCATCTCTCCAGCCCCTGGAACAATTCTAGGAGGTATAGATTATTCCACAGACAAATGAAGAAAGTGAAACTGACAGGAGGTTAGAATGGTCTAAAAATTCAATCCAATCCTCTGGCTCTGAAGCATGTGCTCAACCTCTAAGTACACCACATCTGTAGTCACCAGGTATGTGGGAACATGTTCTCTTCTACCTTGGATATTACATCCCTAACACTGTCATCCTCATTTACTTCTTCCTCATCTCTGCACATCCTTATTTAACAGCCTGCTATTTTCATTACTTTCAGTCTTTCTCCTTACCACTTTACATATTGTTTCTCAACTATATTTCTTAAGAATTATGTGGTCATTTTCTTCAAAGCTAGTCTAGTGGTCTCTTTCAACCTGACCCTAACTTTCCTGTCCAAACTGATTTTTAATTCCCTACCTTTAACTGTTTGTCTTGCACAAATAACTTCATTCATCTCCAAACACGTAGTGTTCATTCCCACCTCTTGAAACTTTCTTTATTCAGGCTGTTTTTTCAGGCTCTAATACTCTCCCTCTTTACTTTTTACCATACAAACCCTTCAAAGCTCAGATCAGTAGCATTCTGCTGTTTTCCTGCATTAATTAAGCCCACCCTAAAGGCCCCATCATGACTTGATGCTTTTAAAAGTGCTCTTTTAACGGCTAGGGAGATGGCTCAGTGGCATAAGCGCCTGTCTAGCAAGTGCAAGGTCCTGAGTTTGATGTCTGAAAACAACAACAGCAACAACAAAAAATGCTCTTTTAGACTTTCATGGCTCTTTAGCACAAACTGCATTACACAATACATTTATTTTATCCCCTAAATAAGGCTAAATGCCAGGGAGTAGGGTTTAGGATGTATTTCTTTTTTTACTCCCTACTCAATACATACTAAAGAATAAGAAAAAGAAAAGCCAATTCAGTGTCTTACACATTCTACACTGCTCCAGTTCAAACTAGCAGAGGGACGGGGGTAAGAAGGGTCTATACACACATGCAAGGTGGATCAAATATGGCTTTCAGGACATTTTCAGTAAATCTTCTGCTAACCCACTCAGAACCAGGAGCAGAGGACTCACTACTACTGCATTACAAAATATGATGCGCAATGATGATGACAGTGCAGAGCCTCCAACTACAACATAAGGAATGGTGAAGTTTACCAAACCCAAGAAGGTAGTCTAAATGTACCTTTTTAACAAGTTCTCTCATGGCCAGAAGTTTTCCAGTCTCAGACCCAACAAAGAGAAGTTCTTGTTCTACTGTCTCCACTGCAGAATTCCTGAGAAAATACACTGTATAGTTAATAAGAACCAATTTTTGCTTTTCCTGTGAACTCTACAATAAATATATACACAACTCCAACAGAATTAACTTTTCTATGGTCAACATAAGCACTTAATTATTTATACTTTAATTTGAAGACAGAATAGATGTTTTAAAACATTGTGTTCTAACAATAATGTGATATAGTCTGGATGTCATGTACGTGCCTGTAATCTCAGTACTCAGAAGGCTGAGGCAGGAGCATAACTGCAGGTTTGAGACCAACGTGGGCTACACAGAAAGTCCAAGGCCGGCCTGAACTAAATTGTGAAACCCTGTCTCAAAAAAAAAAAAAAGAAGTGATATAAAGGAAAATTTTTAAAAATAGAAAAATACAAGTATTAAATTGCTTATAATCCTACTATTTTAGGGTAAACTGATGATTTATTGTAGTCTAGTCATAAATTTTCATGTGACTAACTATTAACTTATAACATTTTTTGAATGTATAAAATTTTTAAAAAGTCAGATATGGTGGCGCATGCAGTAGTCCCAGCACTCAGGATGCCAAGATAGGAGGATCACCACAAGTTTGAGGCCAGTCTGCTCTAAAAGTGAGTTTAAGGACAGGGTGGATTACATAGAGATCTTACCTCAAAAACAACAACAACAAAACCCCACAAAAAACTCCAAACTAAACCAAGCCAAACCAACAAACCATAAAAACCACAAAAGTGTTAAGATTACTGGATAAAATGATGAGAATATTTTAAATGTTATTACATATGAATACATTTTTTTCTTAATCATTATTGTGGATTTAGACTGACAAGTGAAGATAGAACTATATTAGGGCTTTATAATACCTTACAAGATGCTCCAAGCTATTATACTATGTAATACTTTCCTCATTCTAGTCTCTGCCTTAAATCATGTTTATGGTAGTTATTCTGCTTTCTTTATAGATACATAGATGTTTTGAGTTTAAAGTAGACAGGGTAAAAAATACCCTATCCATTTTGCTTCTTTTTTTGGCAAACATTTCTCAACCTTGTGTTACTGAGCTTGAGGGCTCCTGCTCAGATTCCTGAACAGCTGAGACTACCAGTGTATGCCATCATGCCCAATTTTGTTTTTCATTTATATGGCATTAGAAGCACTTTTTCATTTATCTATAGTCTTTTTGTGTATGTCTTTTTGAGACAGGGTTTTGCTATGCAGCTCAGGCTGGCCTGTCTTGAACTTACAATGATCCTCCTGCCTCAGCCTTTTGAGTAGGAATTACAGGCATGCACCACCACACCTGGCCACAGTCTTTATACTTACTATTTCATGACATTCTATCAGGTCACAATATCATAATTTCCTTTTTTTAACCAGTACATCTATCAAGCCTGAAATGCTCACCCTCAATTTGCTATGGGTTTTGTTTTTTTTTTTAATTTTTTTTAGTAGTGCTAGGGAATGGCCCCAAGGCACTCATACATGGGGTTATATGGAAGCTCTATCACTGAACTACATTCCAACTCCTACAAAATATTTTTTTAAAAGGCATTATAAATTAAGTGGCTAAGTAATATCACTTTTTACTAGTATCCTACTTATATAAATCATCAGAGAAACTGAATCCTGAGTAGTCACTGAGCACACATCATATTTTGTGAATGGGAAGTCAAATAAAAACATGAGGATGGGAACAGTAATAGGAAAACATAGAACTCTCTGTATGATTATAAAACAGAAACCCTTTAATCCATCTTGACTTTAAAAAAATGCAGTATTAGTAAAGCTATCTCCTGTGTGTTGGTCTCACTATAAACAAGCTATCTCCTTGAGCCTGAAACAGTCACTTATATTAAGAAAACAAACTAGTGGGACAAAGTGGAAAAACACTTACCTTGCACCAATGGATACACTGATGACATTGTCCAAGTTGAGCTTGCACCACTGTTCAACATCATATGCAAAAGTTGCACTGAACATAGCTCTTCTGACCTGGTGGGATGTGCAAGCCAGGAAAATGGAAGCCAGCTGGTCTCTAAATCCAGTTTTGCCATCTTCAAACAGTTTGTCTGATTCATCTACCACCAGCCACTCGACACTAAGAAATAACAAATAATTGTGGCTACTGCACTGCAAGATATAAAAACACTTAACTAAAATGTGTGGACACATGAAAAAGCAGCACCTGCCTGGCAAGCACAAAGTCCTGAGTTTGATTCCCAGTGCGCATGAGCACATGCACACACAAAAGATAGAAACGAGAAAAACATAACCAGTGTATGTATTAGCTTCAAAGATGGAGTTTCATTAGCAATAACAGAACTTTCCATGAATCTCATGAACCTCATTATCTTTACTGAAAGATATAAAAAGGTCTAGGGAATTATGTATTACCTGCTAATCAAAATGTTAACATTCTTCCAGACAGGATAGTTATTTTTCCTATGAGTTTAACGAAGCACCAACTTCACATGGCAGAGAGCAAGCTCCAAACGGCAATATTATAAGCAATTAAGAACAAAATATGATCAATTAAATGAAAAACACCCATGAAAGACGTTAAAATATTATTTATACCTTGTTAGGTCTATTCCTGGTGGATCTTGCTTTAATAAATAAATTAGTCGATTAGGAGTAGTCACAAGAATATCTGTAGGAAAAACAAATGGTAGAAAATGCAAAAGTAAGACATAACCCTTTTGAAGGAAGGAATTAAGCCTCCTGAATTTCAATCAATAATCTACAGTGGGAAAGGGAAAGTAGTTACTGACATAAAAGTTCTTCCTTACTTCCCCACTATAGCATGAAGTACTATATCCCTTCTCTCTTTTTATTATGTTGAGCAGCTTTCTCAACTCTTAAGAACACTATATTACTCAATAATTTGATTTGCAATTTTTTTTTGGTGAGGGATCCTTTCTTCAAGTATTTTTTACTCAGCTCAAGATAAAAGACATAAAATCAAATTCTCACTGGTTGTGCATGCCTGAAATCCCAGCTGTTTTGGAGGCACAGGCAAAGGGACTACAAGTAAAATGATCTGGGGATACAGCTCAGTGGTAGAGCTCTTGACTTGCCTCTTGCTTAGAATGTGCAAGGGCTCTGGGATTTGATTTCTTCGATACTGGAGGGGGGGTTATCTGGCTAGATAAGGGTAGAAGGAGGTAATCATTCTTATATGCCAGAGTAACTCCATGGCAGGACAAGAATCACTGGCATAAGTAGCACCAACCTCAGCACTGCTGATATTTTGGGTCAGAACACTCTTACTTACAGAGGGCTGTCTCAAGCATTGAAGGATATTTAACAGTTCCCCTGGCCTCTTCCCATTGTACTGCTATTGGCTCCCCTCCCTGGTTTCAACAGCTGGCAAAACTGCCAAATGTCACTATGATGGAGGGTAATGGGCAAAGTCATCTCACCACTGGTATATATTTATATAGCTACTGGGAGCAGTAGGGAGAGGATCTTGTTTAGCTTCTTTAAAAATAAAACTATGGGGGCTGGTGAGATGGCTCAGTGGTCTAAAGCACCTACTTAGAACAAGCTTAGCAAAGCACAGGGACCATGGTTCAATCCCCCAGCATCACATGCCAGCCAGCCCTGCCCCCTGGTGGGCTGAGCTGGCCACACACACACACACACACACACACACACACAAATAAATAAATTTAAAAAAATAAAA